GGCAGATGAGCCACAGCCACTCTGGGCTGGAGCACACCTGATCTAGTGACACACAAACCCTCCCCACCTCAGCTCCATTCTGCAGTACCATCCTCTGCTCCAGACACACAGCATGTGGCCAGTGTGAAAAAGTAGCACCTGAAATTAGAGGCTTTTGGGCTAAAAACCTCTACTCGTGTTAAGATGTTTGCATGTTCTGGCCTGCATGGATGGGAGAATCCTCAGGCAACAAAGCTGTATCTGGTGACCAAAGGTTATACATTCCTTTATGGCCTGAAAGAGGAGTCCATCGAAGTGAAAACAAGAAGCTCAAAGCACTGAGCTCACAGCATATCGGTTCCTCATGAGTTTTGTATCAGCCATGTTAGAAAGTTACAAGCTCTTTTTAGCTACTACCCCCTCAGCAGCAGGAAATGTGTACTCGTGTCATACAAAATAGCACCTCAGCTGCAGGAGGCTGGGAGCACTGTGCTCAGGTGCTGAACTGGCACCAAAATACCTGAGCTGGAAGCATACATTTTCTTCTGCTGAACTCACTGGGGGAAGCAACCAGGCAGGGTTAGGTGACAGAGCTCACCACGGAGTTATTTGCTACCTGAACCTCAAGTAAAAAATGCAGTTAGTAGAGCACCTTCCATACAGACCCTACAGACTGGCATAGGGTTTAGAACAGTCTATCTGGCATTGAAATAGTGTACTGCAGGAACAGCTTGTGGCAGGGGGGTGGACTTGGGTGATCTTTAAGGTTCCTTTCAACCCAAACCCTTCTGTGATTCGAGGGTGCTTTAACCTTTTTTCCTCCAGAAACAGTTAACAGTGCAATGCTGCCAACTTGTAACTGACCTTCAGGCCTAACTGTCTAAGGAGATGCAATGGGTACAGATGGAATGCTAGCAGGTTATAGAAAGAAAACGCCCTTCTACTCCTTTTTTCTTACCAAAGATCAATCATTCTCTTCCATCAGCAAGAGCATGCGAGACAAAGCATGTGAGAACAGCAGAAAGAGAGGAGACTGTCAGCATCAGAGTCTCTAAAAGACCACAAATACAATCACTGCAAGTTTGCTTTTGCAGCTCTGAGGTTTTTAGTTGCTTTCAGAAGCAGCAGCACAGACACGAGGCACCAAGAAGTGGGAAAATAAGGTGACACCTGAGCAAAGACAAAAGCTTCTTTGGCATTAGAATTGAACCACATTTCAATGTGCTTTGTTATTTTGTTAGCAGTCTTTCCAATTATGAGTCCAAAAGTTGTGGACAAAGCACCACAGAGACCAGGGCATCAGTTGTACACGTTGGCCATGAAACAAGGTCCTTTTCTGATGTTCTGACATATAAAATTAGGTTAACTTGTAAAAATACATCATTTGTATTAATCTGCACAAAGACTTTTGTTTGAAGACAAATGCATTTCTTGCTTGCATGCCACAAGTAACAGATCTCCCAGAGGAAAAGATTTTAAAGGGGACACAGATCTGCACTTGCTGTGTAAACAGAGCTAAACCTTTTCTTAACAATATTAGTCAGGTTTCACAGTGTAAATCCCACAGTTCTATCACCTGCCTGTTCCTGCTGCCTAGTGTCCATCCTCCCCATCCCAGTACTGCACAGGAAAACAAGAGAAGAGATGAGGCACAGGAAAACAAGGTAGCACTTAACAGCACAACAGGGTAAAAGGCGCCAGACCCCAGAGAGCTCAAACATGAGGCAGGTTTAAATGGAAAGGAAAAAACCCCAAAACGTGCTGCTAAAAAGAAGGGAGGAAAATAGCTGCTCAGAAGAGACAGGAGGCCACATGAAACAGGATAAAGTGAAACTTAATACTGAAAGCCTTGACTTTCAGCTTCTGAAAGCAAAACATGCACAGAGCCTGATGAGCATCTTTAGAGGAAGAGAGTTTCCTTTGCTACTGGGCGAGAAAATTTGGACAGATTCATTTTATTCTCCTTAAAAAGAGGATATTGCCGTGAAAAATCAGGCATGACATTACCATGACCATCCACACATCATAATAGTTTGTCTGCTGCTCATCCCTCTCCTCCCTCTAGCAGTCTCAATATATCCTTCTAAACATGAGTCCTTCCATCACTTGGACATACCTGACAGCAGCAAGAGGGACTGCTCACCTCTGCCATACCAGGTATGTTCATGTGCTAGAAGTTAGCAGGAACTTCCAGTTCAGCCTGCAATGCACAAGACAATCCCAGCTAAATAGAAACATCAGTCTTTTCCTATGTTTATGGCGACAACTTGAAAGCACTGAAGCAGGAAGAAGGGAGAAAGAGGGAGGGGAAAAAAGACTAGATGTCTTATTTCACTTAATGGGCAAGGTTTCCTGGGTCTTCTGTGCAGCTTGTTTAGAGAGCAGCAGAACTGGCACTGGATTTGGTTCCACTGCCCGCTACATTAGGTGGCTTTGTCCACTAATTGGGCTACAGAACAATGGTGTTGGAAGGGCTGCTGGTAGTTCTCCGGGGTGAAAACATCAGAGCCATCACTGTGCTGAAAGGAAAGCTGAGTAGACAGGGATGGCTCATCCATACACAAAATAGCATGTGTCTTCCTGTCTGTTCCCCAGCTTACTGCTGTCTTAACATTGCTCCCTGCTCCAACAGGCTAACAGGTATAGAAAAAAGACTGGATTTTTAAGGACTGCTTCCTATTAAGTCTCCTAATGGGGTGCAGGAAAGAGGCACCAGAGTGACTGTGAAGGTCTAACCTGGCACTGAGGACCCTGCACGCTTCTGCTGGCTTTTTTTTCCTGTTTTAGTAAAGTCATATGGCTTCTTAACAGTATTTACTTTGAAGCACTTCTCTAAATTCAAGTGTCCTAGTGGAAAATGGGACATAATGGTTCTAATTTAGCATTTTGGAAGTCTAAGACTGGAACAAGAAACAATGTGTGACTGTGAGCTGAAGACAAACCTTTTGGGTCAGGATTGATACATGATGGGAACACAGAGGAGTGGAACCAGACTTTGCAGATGCTGGGTTCCTGTTGTGGATAAGTAAGTAAACAACGCACAGAGCAGCACCATTGACAAGCACCAGAATGGAGAAAGGTGTTCTCTTTGCTTGGAGGTGGGTATTGCAGTTGTCTGAAGGCACTGGAACAAGTTCCAAAGGACAGCACAGGTGGGAAGGAGGATTGTGTGCCCCCTTCCCATGTTAAGTTAGAGGCACATGGACCCTCACCTGGGAGCTGAACCTTCCATGACACCCTCAACTTGGCTGAGTGTTAATGAGTCTCTATAGAGCTTTGGGGCAGTGCTACCTTTCTGCTTTCACAATGATACCGGTTTGAAGAACATGAACAATGAAGAGCTGTAAAATCTCTTTCGTTTCCTTTAAAAAAGGTTCTGGAATTTTACCAGCATCTGCAGCACCCAGTAGTGTCTGAACTGTTCAGAAGGAGATGCTTTTTCTGAGTGAGAATTCCTACTTTAGAGTTTATACATAGGAAAATCAAGCCACCCAATGTACTTCTGTCAGACTGTTAGCGTGGCAAGTTCCACTTGTGCTGTTCTGACCAGAAAATAGCACATCTCCTGTAACAATGCTGTTTCCTCTTGAAAGACCTAAACCTGCATGAGAAACTCATGGAGTGCCTTGCAAAAACCACTGCAGAGTAATCAGACTGCTTAACCTAAGAGGCTCCAACGAGTTAATCCTACAAACACCCAAGCAGCTGAAAGCTCCTTCCTCCCCACACGGTAACAACCACTCATCCCAGCTTTCAGTGGAGCACGCACTCAACTCCAAGTCCCGATCTCCAGACCCCTTTGTTCAGCAGCATTAGCACCAATGCCAGTCTTCAAATAAGAACCCCTCCAAGTAACAAGAAAACTCCATCTCTATTGCCATGTAGCCCTGTAGCAGAGGCTCCCACCCCTTCCTATATAGCACATCCTCCTAATCTGTGTTCTCAACTACGCAACAGTGATGTACAATGAAAGCTGACCACATACTATGAGGTTGTCAGTCCCATATTTCATCTCCTTCTAAGGCTACAGGAGTGGAGGAACATTCTCATTTTTATCCCGTTGTGCTTTTACACAGATGCTCCTCAGGGGGTGGGTTAAAATCCCAAAGAAAACCAGCAGTGAGAGCAACAGCCACTGAATTTGAAATGCAAATCAACAGCCATTGATTTGAAATTTTAGCCTAAACCACCTGAACACTCTCAGATATTGAATCAAGACACCCTGAGCTACAGAACCTTTTAAAGCATCCTTTCACATAAGTCATTGAAGTTTCAGTTAAAAGCACTTAAGGATGCCTCTCCACTTAAAACAGGAGTCACAGGAGAATGGCAGAGAGAAAGCATGCAGTTAAGTGATGCTACACAGTAGAAGGCAAGAACCACCAGGTTATGGACCGCCCCCCTCGCATGCCTGCACACCATGCAGTGTTACTACAGCACACGTTACGAGGACTTGGAATCCAGAGGCAAGTTCCCATCAGTTCAATATTAAAATGACCAGCACCATTAGAAAGCTGAAGGTGGCCTGGGCCCCATGGTGGATCAAGGCAGAGGATTCCTCTGTGACTGGCTAAGGATGGACAGGCAGTGAGAAGAACCAGAAGGAGAGGAGAAGCCAGAATCTCTTTGGCTGGAGGAGCAGAATGGGAAGGAGGCTGCATTTATGGAGCAGTTTGTGAAGCAGCTGCTGGAAGAATTGGCTTTGGGGAAGTTGGATATTTGTGCTGCTGACGCAGGATTCAGGAAGAAGGGAGAATGGAGGCAGCAGGAGTAGCTTCCATGGCTAGCACCAGCAGCGGAAGTGCTCCAAGCAGCCAGCACAGTGGGAAGCAAGGATGGGAAACAAAATCATATCTAAAAAGGAAGAAAAGATCTTCACTGCTTATCTAAGTAAAAAAAAACAACAGCAAAAAGAAGAAACAGAGGAAGGGGAAATCAAAAGAGGAGAGAGAAGCACCAGTCGCAAAGAGTTCACAAGGCTTTTTTCCTCCTTCCCCCAGCGTCACTGCTCTGGCTCTGACCTTCGGGGCCGGTATCTCCGATGGCCCGTTGACTTCCGCGTGGCCACTGCTGCAGTGAAGCCCACCAAGCAGCACAAGGATGTGGTGCCAAATTTGGCTGTGTCCAGCCAGCTGGGTGTTTCTGTCTTCAGGTATCTCTCAGCTAAATGCAGACTCATCACTACGAACCACAAGACTGAAGCAAACGCATCAATTCTCCGGAGCCTGCAATGCCAAAAAACAAGACACAAGGTAAGAGTTTAAACACCAATGAATCCCTTGGGGCTGAAGAAGGGAAGATGGGGAAAAGGTGGGGAGGGTACCCAGATTGAGGAGGTTGTGTAGGATCTCTTACTATGGTTTTGCCACCTGAAAGGTCAGCTCCATTTTCTACCAGTTTAGAGCTGCACTGGGAGTTTTTCATTCATGGTAATTCAAGATTAAATTGAACAAACCAAGGCACAGATCCAAAACAAGCTCTGCTGTTGCCATCCAGCAACCCAAAGAATAACAAGGAGAACGGTGCCACCCAGTACTACGTGTGCCATTCTGGCAATGTTCACCCCCTGGCTCACTGGGTCAAGACAAGACCTCCAACATAATGCAGTTGTTCTTTAAGTGAACCAGCAGAGAAGAGTCCACGCACCTGATCCGCCCAGCTAAGAACATGGCCAGCAGGCAGGTGAAGAGCCCAAGGACAGCGACTGCAACCTGGTGGTTCTTCCCGTAAGCCCATGCTGCACTCAGGTTCTCCACCATCTGCTCTGGGAGCAGCCGGAGCAGCTCCCGCCAGCGGACCACCGCCATGGAAGTGTCATTTTCCAAGTCTGCATGTGAGCTTGTGCCAGTCCTGTTTGGAGTGGATGCGGGACCAGAGGAGGCAGGAGCAGGGATTGCTGTGCTGGGTGAGAAGGGGTTGCCTGACCCATACAAGGCCATCAGAACCAGGAATGCACAGCTGAGGAAGGCCAAGAACCGCAGAAGTATCACCTGAGCTGGTGTGGTTATGGAAGCAGAAGAGGTGGATGAACATACATTCTGCAAAGAAAGGGAGAAACAGCTCATCAGAAGCTGAATGAACTCTAGTAAGGGTCTGAAATGGTGCTTTATGAAACACTTCCAGACTATAGCGTTTACCGGACAGTTTTGCTCAAGTCTTTTTAAGTCTCTGTACTGACACCACCAAGGTATGTTGCAGACTAGCAAAGAGGAACAACAGAGCTATGAGCAGAGGCCAAGCTCAGGCAGGGCAGCGAGGGAAGGAGGTGGTCATAATTCACTTCCCATTGTTCTTACTTGTCTTGTAATCTATAGTTTCCTGCACTGTACTCATAAATTGGCTTTCCTACTTCCCCTTTTCTGCCTGTTCCACTATTTTCCTTCCAGTTCTCTTCACTACCCCCCTAAATTCCTTCATCTCTCCCATACGTATACGTACCTGACTATAGGTCTTGTCTGTCTCACGGCGTTTGAAGTGGTGGCTGAGCAGCAGTGCCCGGAGCTGCCGGTTCTGATGTTTGATGTAATACTCCACAGCAGCCTGGCACGGCCGGCACAGCTTGTAGGTCTGCTCCAGGTGGTGCTTGTACACCTCAATCTCCTCATCATATTTGTTCTGGTGAGAGAACAGGAGAGGAAAAGTAGGTGAGAACTGCAGGTCCCTTGACCACTTGCTACTGGCATGAGAGCAAGGAATGCTTCCAGTTTCCAGTTCCAGAGGAACAGCCACTTGAAACCAGTCCTGAACAGTGACCAAGATGCAAGCCAGCATAAAACCAACTCTGCATACAGCTCCACGTCCCAGAACAGAAAACAGCCCTTGGAGAAGTCTGCTCTGATCCAGTTTCAGGATGCTGAATTTCTGTGGCCTGGTATTAAGACCTCATGAACTCAATACAGAAGGTGAGAGCAAATACTAGCATCGCTCTTCTCCTCCTCAAATGAGGGGATACAAAAGATGTGTTGCCCCTTTACAGCACTGTGCTGGAGAAAAGAACAACCTCCTTCCAAATCTCAGCCCCAGGCTCAAAGGCTGTCACTGTCTGAAGGCCTTGGTGATATGAGCTGCATAAATCATTAACAGCACTTGTAAAAACAGTGAGTTGGGTCAAAGGTACATTTTTCAGTGTCACTATAATGGACACATCTCTTTATCACAGATGCTTGTAAGACTTTTCCATCTCCACCCCAGCCTCTCTCAAGACCCTTGTACCAAAAGCATACAGCTGAAAGCATGCAGCTTCTTTGGGAGAGGGAAGTATAAAGATGCATCGCAAGCGGCCTTTGGACTTGCTGCAGCAGCTTCACAGGCTCCATCTGCTGGAACCGAGCAGGAATCACATGGGTGAGACCAGTAGCAGCAGATTTACCCCTTATTGGACAGGCCAGCAACGCTGAGGGGCCACTGCTGTCACCGACAAACCTCTCTAACCACGTTGGACAGCACAGTCCTGTTTCTGAGCTGGCACAGACACTGCAGCTCACTGAATGACTGAAAAAGGGCCAACGGCTGGCGTTACCTGAGCAAGTGAATAGGTCTGGCAAGGGACAGGGACTAGAGATAAAGCTGAGAAAAGGCAACCAGCCAATGGTGTTCTCATTAGGCATGATCAAATTTGAATCTGTTCCCTGAGTCATGCTGATTAAACTCATTCCAATTACACAAAGCAGACTGGATTAGGCAAGCCAGAGGATGAATGTATCCCACTATTGCACAGGCTTATAACCCCAAGGCTTTACCATAGTTGAAAGTGAAGGACTGCAGCATTGAATTCAGCGCATGAAACCCTGGGAGGCATGAAACTGTGAAGGAGAAACCCCAGTATCCTCCACACATATTAAGTAGTGGGAAGGCCAAGAAGTTGCTCAGCAGGAAATCCTGCTGTGTAACTGTGAAATCCCTTTGCCCTCCTAGGCACACATGCCTAACCAGGGACACGATGTGGCTCCACAGGATTCCTCTCTCACCCCACTAGTAAAAGCAGAGCAGCACAGCCAAGGCCTCAGGAAAAATCTACTCAATCTACTAAGGCTTCAAAGTGATTAGCAGGCTGTTGTGCCTCCCAGATCCTGCAAGCTCAGCTAGGTTAAGTACTGGAGGTGTAAGCTGATCTCAGCAATGTGAGGGTTTAGTTTTGGGCTCAAGCTTCAACTTCCACCGTCTATCTAGAACAGGTCATTACATTCTGGCTTTAGAGCAGGATTAGACTGCAACACCAGTCAGTAACCTTCTCTGCACTGGAGTGCCACATAGTGCTTCTGAAGACGCCCAGAGCATCATTCCACAGCACACTGAGAAATTCCTATCTCTCCTGCTTACTAGGCTGCAGCATGGAACTAAACAGAGCAGGAACAGCAGATAAATGCATTGGAATGCCTTGGACAAACGTTCTCCTGTGCCACCAGCCTCTAAGGAACACTTACCTCTTCCCTTGGTGAGAATGAAGCCAGTTGTTTGATCTTTGTGGTTTGATGGTTGTTGCATTTCTTGCAAAGCAGAATTTGGCTGCTCACCCACTGCTGTGGCTTGGTAGGATCACAGAAAGTCATAGCACCCGACACAACATGGTTAAGGTGTTCCATGTACTGAGCAGGGATGGGCTTGTTGTAGTCTCCATTCTGGCAAAAAAACAAAGGGGGAGGCAGGAGGGAAAGCAAATATGAGATCACAAAATCAAAGCTCGGTATCCTCTGGTTGATAACAAGAATGCTTAAGCTCTGTCAGGAGCTTTATGCTCCATGCATTCACCTCTGTAACAAAAGAAGTTAAATAGACAAAATGCTTCAAATCTTCTCCCTCCTCCAGTGTTCTGTACACTTATTGCAAGCAGCTGGTGGGGGTGGATTTTGGCTTAAGACCAGCTTTGTTATTTAATACCCTAAATACAGGAATTCAGCTGTTCTAACTGCAAACCCAGGGAATAATTGTTCCAGGCTTTAAAAGAAAAATTCTTAAGGCACTTTTTGCCCTTCGAAGCAAGAGAGAAGAATTTGTCTTTCTCATTCTACACCAGCACATCCCAATACAGAAGATTCTTTGTAAATTTTATCAAGTGATCAGTTCACAAATGCTCTGCACAGATCTACCACCGTCAAAACCCTGGATATTCACCTGTATTGGGCCTGGATCACCTTCAATGAGGAGCAGGGTTTTCCCTGCAAGGCCCATTCTACAGGGCACACACCTTCCTAGCCACCCATCAATCAATTTGTCCCCATACCTCTTGGAACCCGTTGTACTGTTCACAGTTGGGGCAATCCCAGCAGTTGCGATTCCCATATGGCACTACCGTGTCCTGATTGCAGAACCAGCAGTTCACTGTCACGTGTGTGGGCTTCTTCCTGTTAGGAAAGGAAACATGTCAGGCATGAACACTGGTTTCAGCTGATGTAAGGGAAAGTGATGGCTTTCAAACAGGGAAATGCAAGAGAGCCTGGAATAACAATCAATCTTCCCATTCAGCATGTTTGATGCTATGACTCAGAGCAGTCACTTAGCAATGAAAAGATGGACTGTGAAAGTAGAAATCAGTTCTGCCTGATGCTCATCTCTGTGCCAGCACCATGGACATGCCAGACCTTTAATAACAACCTTGTGAATAATCCACTTCACTGTTTTCCAGAGGCATATTTGGGGGTGCAAGTCCTCTCCATAACCAGCACTGTTCATATACATAAAGGGCGCAGTAGAGGTGCTGCTTAATACACAGGATTCTGGGAAGTGGAAGTTGGGATGCACAAGAACTGTGTATGATGCAGAAACCTAGGAAATGGGCTCATGGTTACAGTTCTATCCATCCTGCCTGTTAGAAATAAGGATGCCAAATTATCTTAAGGTTCAGGCACTGTAAATAGCCGTTTCTTCAGCTCTTTAGATATACAAGGAATTGAGTAATGAACACATCTAACCCAGTTTTTATGCACTGGAAGAAATGAAAATCTAATGACCTGGATCCATAAGTAAGCCCCTTGTTTTTGAAAAGAATCCTGTTAAAATAACAGTCACAAGAGAACCAGCTGTGACTTGGCCCCATTGCAACAGATGTTTGAGCACAGAACTTCAGTGGCCTGACCCTTGAGCTCACCTGCTAAAGAAGGTCTGAATTGTCTTGAAACTCAGTGCAACATCCAAAAGGAAGCTTCCTGGCAGGTTAAGGCAACACAGCCCAGTTGTCTGGGTTTATCAGAACAAACCCAACCACAACTCCAAGGGAGGGCAGCTGCTCAGGCAAAGCCCAGGCAGGGATTTGCTATGGCAGCTATGCAGACAGATGGACCCAGCTGCTACCACCCTTTGCTGCCTAACTCCACCAAGCTTCTGAAGTGGCAGGAAAAGCAAAGAGCAGGCTCACTGAGGGCCTGGAAAGCAAGTCATGGTAGCCAAAGTGCTTCCTGCTCTAGGAAATGTGCTCTGCTGCTACACTATTCTCCAGAGAAACATCTCAATGCTGCAGAGATGCTGCCTGCACCCTGCAACTAAATGGGCACGTGGGTCTCTGCTTACGTTAAGCTAGCTTCTCTCTCAGCCACCACCTCTGTAGCTGGATGCCTACAACCCCACTCCCATTTCCATAGACCACGTCTTGAAACCTGGTTCATAAACCACCAAACCCTCAGGTGATGCTTATGCCTCCTGTTTCAGTATTAGCGATGAGGATAAGCTTGAACTGAAGCCTAAGAAGCCAGAGTGCAGAGTGGATTCCCTGCCAGATGCTGAGAGAAAATGGCTGGAGCTACGAGGGTGACAGATTTTCATCTCAAAATAGATGCACACACCCACATCCCCTCTTAAAATGAATATTCACTGCTCAACTTTCTTCATTGCCAAGAGGGCTCAAACCAGTAAGTGATCCGAGTTAAAAATACCAGTACTGAAGCTAACAGCCAAAAGAAGAGGAAGTTTAAAGCAGACAAATCAAGGCTGCTAGTCCAAGTTATCCAGGAGCTACTCCTGTCCACAGCCATATGAAACATGGACACCTACAATTCCTGTTGGTACTGGTTTTATCTCACTATCATAAGTGTAAAAGCTATGAAAACACAGGTTTCAGTATGTTGACCACCAAAATACAAACCCTACTGCACTGTGAGCATAGACTGTGATAGCAAACACAACCTAAACTCCATCCTCCGGTCTAGGTTATTGCACAGGTCCTTGAAGGTGTCACCTTCATGTGACACCACCCTCTGGCACCCATGGAAATAAGACTGACACCACTTCACTCCCTACCTGGGACCTCTGACTTCCATGTAAAGTACGCAGAAGCACTACTTTCAAGGGTAACACAGAAGAGGAAAGCACACACCAAAGAACATAGCAAAGCATGCATGCTATAAAGCAATGTCACTCTCAGACACTGTCTGAGAACTTGCTAATATCAGAGACCAAATCCTTGGTATACTTGAGACCTTTCCATCTTTTCCAAAGAGGATTCCATTTCTCTCTTGCTGCTGCTGAAGTGCTACCGAGGGTTAAACAGCAGCCCTTCATTCTCACAATGTATACAAAAGAAACTTCTAAGTCCTGGATTATTTAGGATAAAAAGCAATAAGCCTTTCCTTTTGTGAACTTATAATCCGTTGCCACAGAAATAGGTGCAAAAAAATCAGAAGTTCCCAACCTGTTGTGTGCATCAAGATGGGAAAGAACCAACAAAGGTCATTTCAGGCAAGAATATGTAGGTAGGGTGCTAATTTTACAGTAACTGGGCATGACTCTAAAAACAAAAACCAAGTTGGAAAGACTCTCAAACACAGATTTAATGACTATGGAACTGTATATACCTTGACGGAATTTGGGCAGCGGTTGAACATGGTAAGTTAGAGCACACGCTGCTGCTGATGTCAGATAGACAATGCAAAACTAAGCATTTACCCCTGCACACCACCAGGCAAATCATCCCAAAGGAGTTTAGACTCTTAACACTGTATAAACCTGAACCAGCTTTACTGGGCAAAGAAGCACCCCTCAAAACAAAACCTGAGCAACAGGAAGTGATTGAATTCCCATGTAGAAAGATTCCACTCAGAGCTGACTTGCTGCACTAGCTCAGGATGTGGCCTGCACACCCAAAGGAGTGAGAAAACATTCCCAGGTTTGGGAACACTGTTTTGCAGGTAGATCTTTGCTCAAGACAACACTGGAGGGGAATACCTGGAGTGAATTCAGTTACGAGATCAATACTTAAATGTCCGATATAAAACACTCCTTTGTGAGAGACTATCAGACTCCTTTAGTTTGGTAACAAAAATCAGACTGCAGGTATAGCCATTGACAAACACTGGTTAGCAACTAGTCTGTGCCTCTCTTGGAAGGAAGACAAGTTCCTTCTTATATTACAGCTCCCAACACTCTCCACTACTGCCACTTACACATGCCTTTAGGGTCATGCTTAAGTCCACATTTCTAATGGATTGCCAGAACAACACTCTCCCTGGTAAATGCAAGTCTATTATTAATTATTATTATTAATCTGGATTGCTAAATAGTTTTATTTACATCTATTCCCCCCCCTCATTCTGATTTTCTAAATCATCAGATTAAGATGTTTGGGTTTCCATATTCTCAAGTGGATGTGCAGCTCTTCACTGGGTTACCCTCATCCTCTGCCAAGGATTAAAAGAAAAAACAATTCTCCATGAAAAGCATCTAAAGCAACACACAACTGCATTAAAAGCAATTATACAAACAGCTATGCCAGCAAATCTGAATAAACCCCACACACACACTAGGAAAATAAGCTCTTTTGCAGAGATCAGTTTTGATCAGAACATCACCTGATGGCAGTTTCACATAACCAAGGTATAGACCCAGCCCGTGGCACAGTACTGTCAGCATGGCTGAGTTAAGAAGCTCATACACAGGGAAGCTCCTGGGTGGCAGCTCCCTGAGCTGCTGTAATTCCAGGTTGTGCCCATATCCATCACCTGCCAATAAAGGGGTTTGCCAGCAAAGCCCTGATGCTAAACCCCATTTTCCAACAGGAGAAACACATCACAGCTGTCCAGATAGCAGCAGGCAAAGGGTATGAGAGATGCATTAGCTCAGAACTAGCAGTTGCGGACAGGGCTGAAGATTGAACCACAGAACCAGATTCCTAGCAAGTATTTAACAGGTTACAATGCAGCCCAAGAACCAGACTTTGTGTCTTCTAACAGGGAAAAAGGTGCCCAGTGGGCTGAGGCAGGGACACAGACCCACAGTCATAAACACCTCCTGTGCTGTCTCTCCCAAAAACTGTCTTCATGTAACTGCAGCTTTAGCATCTTTTAGTATCTGAAGAATACAGTCCATCAAGACAGGATCCTCCAGAAAGGTGCCTCTTTTTGCTATCTCTGCATCCCTGAGAGGCTCTCAACTAAACAAACAGCTCCTACTGGCCTTAGTGCGAGTTATCTTGACTTGTAGGAGCATCTTTTGCCATCACTGACCCAAAGAACCCTAAGAATGAGATGCTCTTGGGTTACTGTATACTGGTTCTGACAGGTCAGTAGCTAAAAATCAGGAGGGGCACAAAAGATGAAGGAAACGTGGCTACAGCTGCTAGTCTGGACTCAGCAACGGGACTTCCAACTATAGATAACAAGTAATCAAGCTGTGATCTTGAAGACAGATCACAAAACACATCAATTTTCCTATCTGGTCCAAACTCACGAGGCTTAAAGAGTTCCTGTGTGCACCTGGACATCAAATCTTGATTTCCCGGATACAAAAGCACAGTTAGGTGCAGGCAGTTACTGAAGTGTAACTCCACACATTGACAGCTATCCCAGAACCACCTCTCTCTAGGCTGCTCTGATATATTTTGTTCCCCCTTCTCCAGGGGGTGCAAAGGCATCTTTGCTAGATCTGTAAGTGCACTCATGCAGAAAATGGGGCAGATGGAAGGTTCATTTAAGTGAGGCCAAGTAAGGAATCAGGTAATATCAGAACATTGAGAAACACAAATATGCTGCCCCAAAGAATTATCAAGGTCATCTCCTGAAAACATTTGCAGCTCCCTGGCAGCCTTCAAGGACTTGGGAAGAAATGCTTTCCATTCCAGAGACCTTGATGAACCTAAGCAAAACAAATCCAATCTCTTCCCTCAAAAGGCATCTTAGCCTCATCTGGGTCAAAGAAACACTGCCTGCTTCACTGAGGATTGCTTTAGGCCACCAGTATTTCCTAGCTGCCCTAAATATGCCATAGAAATGCCAAGATAGGCTAATGCAGCACTGAGCATTTAGATGCTTACACGAACAGCGAATGCTTTACAGCAAACCTCAAGTATTTTATTGTGGATGTAGAAACACGCCTCTACCTCAGTGTGTAAACCTGAAGTGAACCTTAACGCAGTGAGCCCTTGGGACTGCCTTTTTCTTCTACAGAAACACTCATGAAATGAACAGATTGCTCAGGTCTGTTGTTATAAAGGCTGTAGTGCCTCCGATTCCATATATTCCTACACACCTTTCAAGCTATGCTGGATTAAAGCCGTTCAAATTAAGCTTTACTCCTTTAATGAAATCTGCATGCTGACTCCTCTCCTAATGCTTCTCAAACCTGATTCTCAATTGGTCTGTTTAAATTTGTTCTAAGGTCAGAAACTTGCCGTGCAACTAAGAAATAGCCCAAGGCTTCTGGTCTGTGATAACTCTGACTCCTGTCATCTCTGGCTCTACCATCCTCCCAAGTTTTGCCGCTGAACTGCAGTAACTGTCATCTCCATGGCCCTCTCCCACCGTCCCCACCGCACTCACGCTTTCACCTCCACACCAACCACCGCAAGCACCAAAGCGCTCTGCTTTCCTGCCTCCAACACGCCGGAAAACCAGAGGCAAACCCCGCACACCGCGGATGGCGAGGGGAAACGCTCCGAGTCCCGCCGGGGGGACGACAAACCCTCGGTGCGCCGCTCCGGCACACAAAGGCACGCAGCCATCCCAAGGGGACACGTTAAAACGCGCCCAGCCGTTCCCATACACGTTTTTGTTGCCGCGGCCGATTCGAGAGGGTCCCTCCCCGAACAGCCCCGCGCACAGGCACAGGGGCAAACCCGAGCCGGCCCCGCCAGCCCCGCTTGGAGCCTCCCCGCCGGCGCGGCCCGCATCCGCCCGGCCACCGCCCGCCTCCCGCCCTTGGCGGCCCTACCTCCGCGCCATGCGGTACAGCAGCAGCCCGGCGGCGGCGGCGCACACGGTGACGCCCAGCCCGGTGGCGGGGCCTCGGGCCAGCAGCGCCCCGGCTCCCTCCATGCCGCTCCCCCCCGCACACACACGCGGGCCACCGCTGTGACCTCGACGGCGGCGGCGCCGCTTTGTACGCGCCGAGTCCGGCCCGCTCCGCCCCTCCGGTCCGCCGCGGCGGAGGCGGGCGCCGTGAGTCACGGCGAGGGGCGGGAGGGGCCGCGGCGTGAAAGGACGGAGTCGTGCGGCGGCGCCGTGAGTCAGCGCCGCAAAGGCCGAGATCGTGGCCGCGGGGGCGGCCGGCGGGCCCGGAGCCGTTCCGGGGGGGGAGCCCCGGCGTGCCTGGCCCCGCGCCGCGCTCCTTGCGTGCTGCTATATTTAGACGTGATGCGTGACCGAAGCGGCTCCAGCGCCTCCGGGTGCCGGCCCTGCCGGGGATGGAGCCAGGAACCCAGGCCAGGGGCGGCTGCAGCGGCCGGAGTGGCGCTGGCACAGGCCTAAGCCTGGGGAAAGGGGGTTAAACCCACAGCTGCACCGAGGGGATTTGCACAAATGAAACCAGAAACAACGGAGTCTGCTGCAAGGCAATTAAATCTAACTTATATGTAACCACACCATCACTTTATGATTCTGATTGCTGAGGACAAAGGATAGCTGGGCAGAGAATTGTGGAAACAGAACGGGCAGAGGAAGAAGAGGCAGTTCCAAGAGAAGAGATGCTCTGCCAGGAGCTGCTTGGGGAGAATGGCCAATCCCTCCAGTTACACCGCTGTACCCTCCCCACTGATTTCAGAGCTCCCTTGTGTAGTCTCTGATCAAGTTACCCAGTCAATCACTGCAATAACAGCTCCCATTAGCCAGGGGACAGTATGGCAAGAGGAGCTGGAAGTGAAGCACAGCGCTCTGTGGGCAGGTTGTTACCTGTGAGCCAGAAGCTGGAGCCTGCAGCTCTGCACTGGCCCCCTCTAGATAAGCACAGCTCCGCAGGAAGCCCTCAGGTCTCTGTGGGGAGTAGGTCCCAAGTCAGTTCAGATCTGGTCTCTAGAAAGCAAAGGAACACCCATGCATGCTCTGCCCCTCTCAGCACGCAGGGGTGGGATTTGCTGGTTCTGCAGAACTGGAGGCAGTTGATGGTTTGACAGTTGTGCCCTGGGAAGGTAAAATGTAAAACCTCTCCAAAATACATGACTGACCCTGACTCCAATTGCACAGCTCTTTTCCTGGTTAAAACAAAGTTTCTCAGCATAATAGCCACAACTGGTTAAAATTCAGGAGAACCGAGTTGTGCCATCATCATGTTTTTAAAAAGCCACAAATGGAAAAGCTGATCATGGATAAATACTTGTACTGAAAGTGAGCTGTACATCTAAGCTTAACTGTAGTTGGGGTCTTAACAGTTCCATTTCTCTCTCAACAGATTTAACCATGGAAACGAATTCTGTGTAATAACAGTGACAATTTCCTCTTGATAAACGCAAGTGGATTTTTTCCATCTCTCTTCCATTATTTGATTATTTAGGGATTGTTTTATGAGACCAAAAGATAGGGAAAGGAGGAAGAACAACTCATTTAGCACATCAGGCCCTTCTGCAAGTCCTCTGAGACCTGCTACACTTGTGAGCTTGTCCGTTTTTCCTGCAGTCCCTCCTTCCTATCTGTAGTATCAGTCTATCCACAGATGCATTGTTTACTAGAAGTTTCCTCCTTAAAGGAGCTAATGAGGAACTTGAGCAGAACAGCTATAAATCATGGTGAGGGGTACAATCACAATGCAAGTGTGTATGACAACCATCAGTAAATGTGAATAATGTTGAGGGAATTCAAGGGAACGGTGGGTACCTAAAGGGAGGCAGTAAATCTTGTAGTGACAAGATAGACCTGAGCCATCTTTTAAATGCCCATGAAATTTAGTTTCCAAAGCTAAACTAACCAACATGAGTAGCTCATACTATTGCAGCAACAGTGTGTTGGTAATTTCAATTTAACTGTGAATTTATGAATGCGAATAGACTCAGTCCTGATAGTAGAAACTTTGTGGTCACTTCAGAAACAACCATAGTTTCATAACTTTACTGATAATGAAGCTACAAAGGGTCTAGTAATGAACCCTAAATCTGGAGAGAAACAGCCCAGGAAATGCTAACCCGTAACAAATGGTTACCTACCTTCCATGAAACTGGCTTGCTGCAGGAGTTGGAGTGGAATGAACAGGGGAAAAAGGTTTTGGTTTTTCTTTCACGACCAGAGAAAGGTTGGTTATTTTTAAATCCAGCTATCCCTTTGGAAAAAAAAACACTTCAAATTCTTCCCTCTGGTAATAGGCTTAATTCCATGCTCAGTGACATCAATGGGCTTGCTCACAGAGCATCACCTAAAAATGTTAACTCTTGATGGAGTTAAGGAAGCAAGGGTTAGTGAGCTCTTAAAACATCTCAGAGGAAGGAAGGAACAAGGATTCAATTATACTCATTCAGAAATTCTATTAGCTCCCAATAGAGCTTATTAACCTTCAGTCAAATTAAGACTAATTCTGTCAGGGCTGGTAGCAAAGCTCAAAGAAGAAAACAAAAAACCCAGCAGAATTCCTGATATGCCATCACATTGAAGCAGAACAGAAATTTGTTCACTTTCTCTTTTGATTCCTCTCTTCCCAAGTCCCAAACTCCCCAAAACGGTTTGCGTTCCCTCCCCTCATTCTCAAAAGAGATCAGCAGCCTACACATTTGACTGAGATTTTAGGAGTGAGCTCCTGCACCCTAACTACAGAGGAATGCTAATTTAAGAAAGCAAATCTCAGAAAATGTTTCAAAGTAGCAACACAAGTGCCCCAGTTCTCAAAAATAGAAGCAGCTCTGTAGGACAGTTTTGCCTCCTCCAAAGATACAGCTTTTGCTGCTCACCGTCGCCAGAAATAAAGCCATGCCAGTTTTTAGTTACTCAACTGCTTCCTATTTTAGCTTAGGGGTAATGTGATACATTCTTTTCAGTAAGACATAATAGAAATCAGTTATTTTTGCAGTTTTGCCTCATAATGAGGTATACAGGCATTGTACGCTGTTTGCTCTATGCTCTTCCAGCACACTGATGTCAAATGTGACCTCAAGTACCAGTCATCAGCTAGGTCCGAAACAGAACAGTCGTGAGGGTTTGAATCCAATTACGGAACCCATTATATCCCTGCAACAAAATACTAGCCTGAAAACTTGATCTTATAAAGGACTCACTACCAGGCTGTTTCTTATTGGGTTGCATGATCCTTCCAAGTCCAAAGTCTGCTGGATGTGGTCCTTGAAGTCAAAGATGTCTGTAAACTCTGGTTTATGCTCAAGAACTCAACACCTGCTCAGATCATGAGAAGCTCATTGTTCAGTTGAACAGGAGGGAAGGCTGAAGCTGCAGTGTTTGTCTCAGCTGCCAAAGCAAATGACAGTAATGAACAGGGGAGCATAGTATGGTCAAAGCAAAACACAAATCTGCATCTGAGTTCTCAGACAGTTTGTCCTGCACTTGCAGTAGTTATTCATATACTTTAATCACAAGGTACTGCTGCAATATGAGTGGTAAAGAGAGTACTGAAGTTAAAAGCATACTCCAATATTTATGAAATGACTATGCAGGGTATTTCATAGAATCACAGAATAGTTAGGGCTGGAAGGGACCTTAAGATCACCAAGTTCCAACCCCCCTGCCATGGGCAGGGACACCTCACACTAAACCATATCACCCAAGGCCTCGTCCAACCTGGTCTTGAACACTGCCAGGGATGGAGCATTCACAGCCTCCCTGGGCAACCCATTCCAGTGCCTCACCACCCTAACAGGAAAGAATTTCCTCCTTATATCCAATATAAACTTCCCTGTTGAAGTTTTAACCCATTACCCCTTGTCCTATATTTGATTTATAACTGATAGTTAGGACTGCACCATGACTACTGTTGAAGAATACCCCTTGGATATGGTGTCTTTGAAGGGGAAGGCAGATATCTATATGAAATATGAGAACTGTCAACAAGATGCACTAAGCTGGCAAATCCTTATTTCCTTCAGTAAGTAAATCAAGTAATGACATAAAGAATCTGTTTAAATGTGGATTTTTTTGGTGTTAACTCCAGTGACTTGCCATGAGATAACACAGCATCTCGTGCCCATCAGAAGCACTGCTCTATAAAGACATCAGATCAAGAGGGACATATTTATCATATTGTAAAGCAGAATCCAGAACTGCATTTATAATCTAGAGTATTTGGGACCTATCTTATCCTCTCTTCCAATCTCCACAGCCCTAGTATTTAAATAAAAGGAAAATGTCACCCAAAAAGCCCCATAGCTGAGGTTAGGATACACAACCAAGTTACTGAATCCCATGGATTTGCCTTCCACAGGGCAGGGCAGCCAGGCCACAGCCACGGACTGTCCTTACACAAAAGCAAGGTCTGCAAGCCAAGTCATGACAGATCTATTCCCACACACTACCATAAGCATGTATCCCAAATGCAGTGGTGCACACAGCACTGTAATTGTTTTTTGCTAGAAGCCTCCCACAGTCATATTCCAGCAGTATTGCTAATATTGCTAATTACCTAAGACATTCTGGTGTGCATATCTCCTACTCTCAAAGCAGATAAACATACTATGAATGTCCTGCTTGAACACTCCAGGATGCTCACACAGCAACAAATGATGCACCTTGAATATCCCAGAAGGACTCTCAAACTTGTCTGGGCATTAGGCTATTACAGTGCTGAACTGACATGACTCCAGTGGGAAGACAACAGAGTTGCACATTTCCAAACCAGTTCTTCTCCTGTTTTAATACAGTTTTAATGAACATCAGTCCGAGATCACTTGATGAGGTACATTCCTTGACCACATATGGCTGTGCTTAAGGAAAAGGACAAACATAAATTAAATAGAGTAATTTAATTTAGTAACAGTTTAACTATCATTAAGTTAAAAAAAGTTATAATTAACTGTTAACATTAATGACTCAAGACCTTTCAGAAAGCATGAATCCAAAAGGAAGTATCCAGCAGGTGGTCACAGACTTGTTCTTCCACCAGCACTGCCACGTGCACCAGTCTCTTAAAGGACTATTTGTTCAATGAAGAAATTGGTCTACAGTCTGTAACGGGAGTCTTGGCTCTGCTACTTTGCATGGTCTTCTAACAGATACACAATTAACTCATAGG